GTATTCACATATTTTGTAGCACACTGATCAAGCAAATGAAAAACTACATCGTATATAGAATAACAGTATGTGGGTTTGAAACTTTACATTCTTTCAAAATTTGCATATATATATATATATAGGTTAATATATTTCCATTTTCATCATCTAACATGTCATTTACAATCAATACGCATGAATGCTTAATTTTATAGTAAACGCTGACATTATCAATAGTGTGCTCATTATTTCATATCGATGTCGAATCACTGTCGAAATGGCAAGCACTTCTAAGTTTTGCCATATTTTTCCAGACACAAAAAAACAACATTCCAACTGTTGTCTTTTTTTTATATTTCAATTGTTCCAAAATACGTCAACCCCATAAAATTTATATTTTGGGTACAGGTAAATAGTTTTATCTACATTGAATTTGACTCGTGTAATCTTCCAACCAAAGTCAGTTATAACACTTATACAAAATTTTCAAATCAATTATTTTCAGCCCCTTCTGTAGTATTCTTCACAAATGTTGGTGACAAGGAAGATCCCGCTCACACTTGTCAGTACGATCCCAAATGAATTTATAAATATTACTTTACGTTGACATACCATATAGTCATCTAGACCTGATACAATGATGAAATCGACGTTTTAAGTTCAAACAATGTAACCAGGAAGAAAACAAACTATAACTAGTCAACAAGAGTCACGGTTACTTGCATGATAGTCGAACGAAAGTTTTAAATAGATAATAGTATACTTCAAATGATTTCTATTTTGATATGCCCAGGATTTTTATAGCTTGCCGGTATCGTGTTACGACTGTTCATATCAAATGTACGTCAATCTATAATTTTTCAAAGTTAATTTCTTGACAACTAACATACACCCTTTTATTAGTCATAGTTATGCTTGATAACTCTGTCGTTGCAACTTGTTGAGTGCAACATTTTAAAAATATTAAAAATTGTATCCATTGAATATGTTTATTTCCGACTAGATATAAATATAAAAATGTTTAAGTAAATTTCAATACGTCCTTACTCATAACTGTTTTATGTGCTACACTATAGACATGATAAACCAAACGTTCAATTAACACGTCTGTTTGTTTCTTTACACAAGTGTATCGGCAAAGTATTTCCGTTAGCTTATTTTTGGAGTTGGCACAATTTTCATTCTTTATATAACGTGTAATATTATCAATTCGTATATTTTAACTAATTTGATTCGTTTAGGGATAGTCACATGTTAAACTATATTTTCGAAGGTAGATAGAAAACGGCGGATTTGCACGGTTATTTTTAGAATATCTAAAAACCGATATACTTTGTGACGTCATCTAATGAAATTCATAATATTGTTAAAGTTTTTAAAAGTGTATATTTATGATCGATTATTTGAAACAATAATCTTCAAATACATAAGATGTACACAAAAAATAAAAAAAAAATAATTGAAATAACAACCAATAAAGTGACAATATGATATCTATAAAATTTCAACAAAATTAAATGATCGAAAAAAGAGAACTTGATACAAATATGGTCGGAAATTAATAATATAACAATTATATAACAATATGATAATATAACAGATAAATTCGACCCAAAGAAGTATATCGACCTCGGACTTCGTCCTCGTTCAATATACTTTTTTTCAGGTCAATATATCCTTGTATCGACCTCACACAAAGGCTATAATTGTATTATTGCAAAATAATTTGTAGAAACCATCTGGGTTTTTTTTCTTTGAAAACCAGTACACATTTTACAATATACAAATGATATATGTTAAATTGCCTAGTAAAAAAAAAATTGTTCACCCAAAAAACTGAAGTGTCCTTGAATTACTTTCTAATACATTATGGGGTAATGGGGCATACACAATCAAGAATAATCATTATTGTACCTCATGACGGATTGTTTTCAATAGAATGTTAACAATTTGAGTCTACATAGGCCGTGTTCACATTGAGCTAAACTCGGTGTGGTGTTAGGGTACTCTACACTTTAACTTTTAGCACGTTTTATTGATAAAAATCAATGTTTACATGTTAGTAGTTTAAGGTTTTCACTACATACAGTCTATAGTCAACGTAGGCCTTGTGTCGGTTAAGTGTTCATAGTAAGGATATCAAGAACATGGATTTTCTTGTGAATATTTAAGGAAGTTACATATTTTGTATAAAAATCACTATTATAATAATATTGCAAATTAATTTATTTTCCTATTGATATGACAAAAACTCAAAAATTGCTCCCTTAGAAACATAATTAGATTTAATTGCCTTAGTAGACCATTTGATTTTCAGTGGTAGGGGGAATATTTTGCTGATGGAATATTCATTTTACACCGTTTGACAGTACGGCTTATTTATCAAGCGAGATTTTTGTACGCAACTATTTCTGGCAAAGTCCTGCATTTTGTATGAGAAAATAATCATTTTCATCATGTCTTTGACAAGGTTATTTTTACAGTCAGTACCATTCCTGACTATTTACTTCCAAAATCACCTAATATGTGACTGAAGAATAGAAATATGCTCACTTAGATCTTCTTCCTATCGGCAATAGAACCCTTGCCTAAGTAGGGTATCTGTTTTGGCTGTGCGGGATGTACAAGTACTCAGCCACGTCCATCTTTATCTCGGACGTCCTCTATTACAGGATTTACCTATTGTATTTATTTTGAATTTTTTCTCGTCCTGAACATGCACGAAATATGCTCATTCAATCTTCTTTCAATCGGCAATAGAACCCTTGCCTAAGTAGGGTATCCGTTTGGCTGTGCGGGATGTACAAGTACTCAGCCACGTCCATCTTCATCTCGGACGTCCTCTATTACAGGACCTACCTTTTGTATTTATTTTGAATTTGTTCTTGTCCTGAACACGCAGTCAATTTATATTAAACTAAGATTTTGAGATTTTTGGAGCGTTTGAGTCTTATACAGTTTTTTGGTTTTTAGACATATCATGAAAATTGGCTGCGGGAAAAAAGTGGCTGCTATCTTGATTGGCTGCTAAAAGTGGATCCCAGAAAAAATATTTAAGTAGCGAATAGCCTCGGTCAACACCTTTGAAATCAGGTATGTCTGGTTCGGAACTTTGCCGTAGGGGGTTGCCGAGAAGTACCCAAAGCATGTGTGGTTAATATGAAAAGTACGTTAAGGGACAACTTTGCATGCCGTACAAAATAGTCCACGTAGGATGTTTATAGAAAATACTTGTTCACATTAAAAAAGAGATAATCATTACATATATATCGTATTTTTTTTCATTTCATATATACAGAAATAGATATAAATATGGTTTCAACTGAAATACTGGATATTTGAGGATGCCGAGTGTATGGAAAGTTTGTATGTATTTTTTCTAACGTGCATTGCATTTATTTATTTAGTCCAAATTGGTTTGAATTATATATATGTATATATATATAAAACACGATTCCGCACGATATTTTATTAAATGAATAGTGTCCTCCGAAAAAAAAGTAGCTGCTATCATCATTGGTAGTTAAAACGGACTGTCATCTTTTGATAATCACGGAAACCCGGGAAGATGTCGAATTGCGCAGTCAAATTGTATTAAACTAAGATTTTTAGATTTTTTGGAACGTTTGAGTCTCATACAGTTTTTTCGGTTTTAGACATATCATGAAAATTGGCTGCTGGAAAAAAGTGGCTGCTATCTTGTTTGGCTGCTAAAAGTGGCTGCCAGCTTGAGTCTGGTACTTTATGATCAGTATCTGAGGATAATCAAGTTTCAAAAGAACACCGTTTTTACAAAAATACAAAAGGCAAATTGCTCATCGACATTTCAATGACAAAAAAATGTAAACAAACATAAATAAATGCAATGCACGATAGAAAAAATACATACATACTTTCCATACACTCGGCATCCTCAAATATCCAGTATTTCAGTTGAAACCATTTTTATATCTATTTCTGAATATATGAAATGAAAAAAAATCGATATATATGTAATGATTATCTCTTTTTTAATGTGAACAAGTATTTTGTTAGTTTGTCCCTTAATGTCAGGGTGCGGAAGTTTCTCGCTGCATTGAAGACCCATTGGTGGCCTTCGGCTGTTGTCTGCTCTATGGTCGGGTTGTTGTCTCTTTGACACATTCCCAATTTCCATTCTCAATTCTATGATTTGTTTTTCATATCCTTAATACATAAGCTACTTTTTTTTTTCAAATATCATTCCATATTACTGTTTTAAATCGTTCTCAAAGTTATTTGTTTTAGTTTAATCAGAATCTTTGAAAATTGTGAATATTTGTAATAATTTGATATTTCCGATCGTGAAAGATCGGGTACCGCTTTTTGATGATCATGAAAAGGGTCGTGAAAGATCTGTTGCCGCTCCATTTATTCCTTTAAGCAAAATTCATCGAAAACGATCAAATCATTCTTTAAAAGGGTGATATGATAATTTATTTTCGTAATTGCTATAGTAAAATATTGGATTTGCTTGACTAATTTCGCTTCACTTTAGTTTGTGAACAGGGCTATGATTGTTCAATACAATTGGATCTGATTATTTGCTAATAACACACCGACAAGTTACCTTATAATAATATAAGTACTTCTGTGAAATGAAAATAACAATATAAAAACCTCATGTGCCCGAAACGCATCTTTTGACTCACTCACATAAGGAACGCCAAAAAGCCAAAAACCTGAAAGCTGGATGCACATATACTGAACCACGTCAAGAGCAATACGACCAAATCGAACTTTCTAGTACAAACTCTGGCTCATTAATTTTTCGCTAAGACACTAATGACGTTTTACATATTCAGAGCTGCAGCTGCAAGTTCCTGAATATCGTATGCATTGAAAAATGTATAATCCATACGGGGATGAAGTTGGTAAATTGTTGCTAAGGTAAGGAACATTTATAATTTCAAATTTAAATTAATTTCGTTTGTCAGAGATTCAGGTATTGAGATGACCGCTGTAGTCAAATTCTGATTATATATAGGTCTGAATATGAAGCTTAGGAAGCTGTGCATGTGGTGTCTGTAATCTCCAGTTCGGGACTATTACTTGGAGACAATCAGAAAGATTTATATTGTTAATGGAAAGAACATCTTCAATATACCTGTATGTACACTTAAATGATATAGCTTCTTTGATATAACCCTTACTAAAACAAAAACGTACACATTAAGATATTTCCAGGGAAAGACCACCAGACCCCCTCTCGCTTCACACATTCGTGGATGCATTTAGCATTATAAATACAAACACATTTACTTTTCGACAATTTGAGCTCTTGCAGGGTTTATTATCTTGGATTCTGTGTTAGCGCTGCCGCTTAAATGAAAACCGGTCTAAATACAGGGGTTTATGTATACACGTATTTATATTTCACCAAAAATAGCATTAGTAAGTGATTACAAGCTTCAACAAATTACTGAAGATGTGGTTTGATTGACAATGAGACAATTTCCACAAGAAACAAAATAACACAGAAATTAACAACTATAGGTCACCTTACGGCCTTCAACAATGAGCAATTTCAATACCGCATAGTCAGCTATAAAGGCATGCACAGCATTATTAAGGAAGTTGAATTGTTGTGACAGACAAATTTCCCTTTTTTTCTGATTTGTTCCACCGTTTAAAAAATACAGCAGATTTTTTATAGATTTTGAAGTAGAATTACACTTAACTGTATTCACGATCCGATGGCATGGTTTTTTGTTCTAAGTAAATAACGTTATTTCATATCGGTTAAGAATTAACTTATTTTATTGGATAACAAGGGGCCACGTGACATTCCTTATTCTTCAGTAAAAAAAAACCATCGGTCTTTAACGGACCAGAAAACCTGTCGTCAACGGACTTTTACATGTTAATGACCAGTGGGGCGTGGTTTCTCTATTCAAAGTTATGTCCCTGTAATCGCAATCGCGATTCAGACGTTTGGAACATGGCTGAACATGAAAGCACCAAATCAGCCACCAAATTTGCAGTCAAGACTTTCATGAGTATTGCATGACAGCGGGGAGCTCCCAGACTATATTGAAGTTGTTGAATTGTTTACCACATGTTTTCGTTAATTATAGAATCAACGAAAACTTTATTTTGTATTCATATACTGAAAAATTGCACTTAAATGAATGGCAGTGACTTATAGTTATCACTATGACTGGTCTTCACTCTTTCCTATAGAAATCGCTTTGAACAATTTGAATTTATGAAAATTTTTAAAAACATGGTTCCTCAATGAAATAAACATAATAATTATTGAAGAACAGTTTTTCAATAACTATTATGTAATTATGCTGTTTTTTTAGAAAAAAAAGTATTTTGACTATGGAGGTAAAAAAAAATATATAAAATAATGTTAAAAGAAATAAGATGTCGCGGTTAAAAGCTAAAAACAAATCTCGAAAATATCATTCTTGCTCCAAAAAAAAAACATGCCCCCTTCAGTTATATATTCGGTCCCTAACTGATATAAATCAAAGACGCATAGAGCACAAATATAAGATTACCTCTTTTGAGGCCGACTCTTATTCAGCCCTAAAACAGTTTGAAATTGAAATTTATACGAGAATATACTACGGTTACAAAGTTACTATGCAAAACCATAATAATTGTGTGCCACCTGTTGAGTAAGCTCCCTATAGAAATGCTCCTGTTGAGTTCGATAGAACCCATCGTGCAGAAACGGGGATTCATATGCGGGTGTTGTTAATCTGAGTGCAACACTCCGTGCGCCAGCACTTTGAAGTACAACTGTGGTGGTCTGGTACACAGCAACTACGTTTTGCTATAATAGTTTCGGCACCACCAATAAACATACGCATTCGGCTTATAAAATTTCTTAATTCTTCCTGCGCACCAATATTTGGCTTTAACTTTTTTTTCAAAAACGGCTGCATCCTCTCAATCTTTGGATTTATTCTTTTTATTTCCAAATTTCCGACCATGCAGACCTATGTAGGTATAGTTATGTCGTTCAATTTCTTCAGTCCCGAGAAGACAGATAAAAAGCATAAAAGGATTGAAAAATATCGATTAAGCCTATTTTTTTCATCGCTTGCCCACACGATTTTTTTTTTGTATTCCAAATCATCTTATTTTGCGGTCATTTTTTTTTTTATTCTGCCTTTTGATTTTGAAAATACTCATCCAAAATTTGTTTCACCATAAATTCGGGTACTGCCTGTTTATTTCAAATTTGATCTAAGCCCCCTCCCCAAAAAATAATAAATGTTTGCTGCCTAAGGTTTATTCAAATGTATTTGATTATATAAATAAGAAACCCATGTTTAACGCATAAGCTTGTTTAATTTGTTATTTAGAGACCGATCATTTAATTTATTTTTTTTGGGGGGGGGGGGGGGGGGGGGCAGGGATTTTGATGCTGAACGGACATTTATTTAGCAAGCTTCGCGGGCCAGATTATGTTAATATAAGAAAACTTTGTATTGAAAATTATCTAATGGGCAAAATGTATAGGCCATTTTTTTAACTCATGGTGATGGCCAATTGTGAAATTAATTTCATTTCAGTCTAAATCCGGGCCAGAAATATTTTCATCTTAAACCCCCACCTGTTTCGTTTGAAACTTAAAATTCTATTAAAACGAAGGTTTGCTAGAAAAAAGAATAGGCAGTATTCTATTACTTTGAAATACTTCAATAAAATAAGATAAATGTAAATAAGGCAAATTTTTCCACACCCTTTCATATTTATGGAATTTGGAGTATTGAAAAAGTTCACCTTTCAGTCAACGAAAACACTTTTGAGACTGCACGTTCCGTGAAAGATTGGTGTATGGTTTTGGCATACCATTAAAAAGTAGTTTTTTTTGTTTTTTTTTTTACAAAAACATATAGTGAACGATGAACTGTAAGTAAATAGATATGATCTTGAAAATAAATTTTATATATATTCTAAGCATCTTATAAGTCAACAATAATGACGTAAGTGCACACTTTAATAATGTACAAAATATACAATATTTAGATGTGGTATGATTGCAAATGAGACAACTGTGTTTTTATCAGGGTCTAAATGGGGTTTACAGAATAGAAAATATTGGACAAACATTGCTGACCAAAGAAAAAAAAATAGAGAAAAATAGACAACAGAAACAAACAATAGAGAATAACGCGGTCTTTAAATATGAAGAATAGAGAACTATGCGATGCTTTAACATGAAAAAATAGATACTAATAAGCAAAATGAATCAAATGAATAAAGGAAACAGAACAATTAGTTTCTAAGGAAAATTAAGAAATGAAGCCGCCCTCGCATTCAGACCTTTATTATAAATATGGCAAATGAAGCGGATTGATGTGACTACTGTTATAGTGTCTAATTCAATTTTGCGAGGTAAATAAATCCGGTTTCAAAACGATAAAAAGATGCTTTTTAAGTAAAAACAAAATATACAGATAGGTCAGATGTTGACTCAATATTTATTCACTTGTTTTCGTTTGAGTTAAATTTGAATGACAACAGTATAAGTGTATATCGACGAAAAGACTGAAAAAATTCATTTGTAGACTCCTTGAGTAAACGTGCGTAAGTATACTGTACATGTATCTCGATTTTTATGTTCAAAATAATGGTCAGTTGTTTATACAGGTACCCCCGCTTTCTCTACAAATAAACTCCTAACCGGTATAATATAGTAAAGAGCGTAGAATTCAGTAATGAGGCGTTGAGTTGTAGTGTTTCACCACTGTCCCAGGTTAGGGGAGGGTTTGGCGCCGACTAGTGTAATCCCGCCACGTTCTATATGTGCATTTCCCAAGTTTAGAGCCTGTTATTGAGTGATTGTCGTTTATTGCTGTTTCTACCACTGGTTTTCCGTTTATTGTTTTGTATAGTTTGTTCTTACATTGCGCCGTTGCACCGCAGTCAATGGTTGGAGAGAGAGTTTGGTTGCTGTGTAACATATTTGTTTTTCGTTCATTATTTTGAACTTAATTAAATTAGCCCGTTAGTTTTCTCGTTTGAATTGTTTTACATTTGTCATTTCGGGACCTTTTTGGCTGACTATGCGGTATAGACTTTGTTCATTGTTGGAGGCTGTACGGTGACCTGTAGTTGTTAATTTCTGTGTCATTCGGTCTTTTGTGGAAAACTGTCCCAGTGGCAATCATACCACCTCTTCTTATTCTTATATTAAACACAAACAATCGATTATTTCAAATAATTATCGATTATCTGACAGCGTAAAGATTCTCAAAATATTTAACAATTGGCTAATTCAGTATTGTTTAATTGATCTTTTCTATGAACCCTTCGTGATTTAGTCTTAATTGTTTAGTGCGTTTTACATGTTTTAATTGAACCATGATATTTTAAACACCGAAGGAAGTATCTACTCATGCGTGTGTTTAAAAGTATATATCCGGACATCTTTGTTGACACATTATAAAAGTAAGTTTTAGCTGATCTAATAGATTCATATTCAACGAATTAATTTGACATTTCTTAAATGAATGAACACTTAGTTTATGTTATTAACTTATCTAGACTTTATAAACATGTATAATATAATAAAGATGTGATTATGTACTGGAAAAAAATGTGAAACGAATGACCTTCTAACAATTTAAATGTTACAACATGTGTAGTTCACTGTATATGTGTAAGTGTTTGTCAATAAGTATAATATCATGTTATTCTACATGTTCTACTATATATATAAACAAATAAATACTACAAACGTCATTGAAACAGTAACACACCACAAACAGACACTTAAGACATTGAATATTTATCATGTTGATGGTATACATGGTTTACGAATCCTCAGATGTTGACCGCCTGAAAATCTTATTGATAAGATCAAAAGAAAATGTTATTATGAGAACATGTTATAGTTTATAAGGGATAACTTTGAACACGGAGATGATTACTTCCTGTTGTGATATTAGTTTATTTGTTTATTTTTGTTTAAAGGTAAAAATATTTGGTTTTAACATTTATCGTCATAAAAATCTACATTTTTGAAAGATCATGTAAAGGTACCCGAGGTTAAAACACTAAAAATACCACTCCTGGATCTATTCTTGGTACGATGAAACGAAAATACGAATACTATATATTTTTAGGTATTGCAAATTATCTTA